GGGGGGGGGGGGGGGAAATCATAATGATTTTTGCTCAAACATCACTGAAGCTGGGGGAGAAGGAGAAAACAGAGCAATTTCCCTGCAGTGTCAAGTTGCTAAGTACCCATAATCACTCCAATAATCTTTGTCATAAGTGACAAACACTATGTTCCTACCCCACTGTGCGATTTTTCCCTCCCCTCCCCTTCTCTGACAGAATGACAGCAGGTAGTAATTGTGCTACTCAAATGTCAGCCTACACACCATATTGTTCACAAAGCTTAGTTATGAATATTAAAAAGCAGAAGTATGAAAAGGAGTAGATTTTCATATTACGCATCTATATTTAGATGATTATGATGTCCTTCATAATCCTCAAATAATTTCAGAAACAGTACACAGAACTGAGAAATGAGGATAAGCTTTCAAAGTCCTTTTCTAGCTACTGTTACTGCTAAGGTACGCTCTGTTCTTTTAGCAAAGCAGCTTCCTCTAGAACAATCAGAAAATGCAAACAGACATTTTCTTGAATTAGAACAACATCTGACTCTCATACAAGAGGAAAATCAACAACTGACCTTTCTCAAAAGTATTTTAATCCAGATCCATTACATTCCAGTAGCAAAAACCAGCTTCACTAGGGGTAAGGGAGGGGATGGGAATGAAAAGATCTAAACACAGTATGTGGAAAAGAAGGCAACAAAAGCAGGGAAGGGAGAAAGAACAGGGAGCAGCACCACAGGTAACGCTCTCTATAGCTTCTGTTAAAGCAGAAAACACTACAATTGTCTTTCAGACTCAGACTCTTAGGACACAGCCTTATCATAAAGCAGAAAAGCAGACAGAGCTCAGCACCATAGCAACATTCACTTGCTTAATTACCAGCTGAGAGGGCTTCCAACAAGAACATCGGAAACATGTTTCGCAAAAAACGTTTCCTTGACTCTTCCACAGTAACGCAAACAATCAGGAAGGCAACAGCAAAGGGACAGACACACAAAGAAAGCCCACACTTCCATTTAGCATCAAGGAGTTTCTACAGATGTACACTGGTTTCATACCAACAAATTCTCATGGCAAAAACATCACTAGTAAGGAAGTTAATTAACATACCTTTCAGTCGATGACTTAGAATCTGTTCCAGAATGGCTGCAAAATTATTAAATTCAGGGGAAGTATCATCTATAGTCTCAAAACAGGAACGGTCGATCAGAGTCTTGACTGAAAACCTAGAGCAAAAGTACAGGACGATCATACACTATATAGACAGCTATTGGTCCTCTATAGCAGGACAGTAGTTTGTATAAACCGAACAAGCAAAGAACCAGAAAACCACCTTGATGATTTCAAGTTCAGTCAGAGCAACATGAACACACACCACATTGAGAAATAGCCTGGAAATACAGTCGTCATTGTCGGTCTTAGGCACAAAGCCTTAAAAACAAAAAGAAAACAAAAATCCACGCCCTTTCTACGTAGAAGTAAGCTAATTATTTTCTAATTATTTTCCTCTTCTCTAAACTATTTTAATAAAGCTGTAGAAAAACAAGCACTCAAAAGCATCCAACATCAATTTCCAACATCAATTTCTCTCTGTAATCCTAAACATCATGATTTTTGCCTGACATTTCGTCAATGCCCCTTTTATTCCCAAAACGCATACTCAAGAACCAGAAGTATAAACTTTATCCTATTATGAGAACATTGTAATTTCATCCTAATGCAAGAATAATCCAAATACATTATAAAACAATGAATTTTTATGCACTGTTAACCCTGTGGATTAACTTGGATAGGTTGATTTCCCTGCTAATGGGAGCAATCATATTCAGCACCATATTACTTCATTATTATGCCAGAAAAGCTATAAATTTAAATGATCTAATATTTGAAATTGGAAAGGCTGAATCAAGGTACTGTAAAAAGCAGACAAGATGTAACTAGTCAATTAGCCAGTTAGCTGTGTGTAGCTACACCTGCACTTCAATTTCATTCTTTGAATAAGAAGATAGTTTAAAACTCAAGAAGCAACACAAAAACTGATTTTTCTCTTGCCTTTGCCATTTTAATCAGAATCCATTTTTATTTTCCTTTCTGCTCCTTGTTCAGTTTCAAGGCAAGTTTCATGTGTCTTCGACTTTGAAAGTAACACTTGTTTTGAAGCATTTATTGTGGTTTTTTGCAACAATCCTTATTTGTATTAATGAAGCCATACTAGAGACTGAGGCGGTTGTTTTCACAACACCCAAACTTCAACAGTACCAGCTTAGGAAGTTCTCACTCTGCCTGCTCATCCCAGACCCTATACCTGAGCACACCGCTCCCTCAGTTGCGCCAGTTCTGCTTTTTATGGGATTCACTATGAGCTGATCTAGATTTTCGATACTTGAGAGGAGGGGTGGAGTGACTCTTAAATATTGATATATTCATAATAAATATGCTTCACAGTATCTCAACACAAACAGTTCTATAGCAGAGCTGCAGAAGCAGCATACTATACAGGCATGGGCAGGAATGAGACTCCTTAAACTAGCAGTATTATTTTCAAATTCTCTGTACTGTAAAAGTAACAACTGCATCCTTAGTGGAGTCAGCACAGCCTGATGCTCATTTACTAAATGAAACTAATTATGATCAAACTGAATTGACAAATGTATTTCAAGAGTTTCGACTCAATTATGTTACACTAACTAAACTTCTAAATAAAGACTCCCCATCCTACCTTTCCTGCAGGCTTCTATTGTTGTAGTGGTTTTGGCAGGACAGGAATTAGGAGTGAGAAGGGTGGGGGAGGAAGCTGCTTCTGCACTGCCAAGTTATGACTCAGTTTTGAACTCCTCCACATTTTTAACCGATTTTGAGTGAAAGACATGCATGCCCACCAGTAAACGACTACCTAGTCAGTATCATTGCTATTGACTACTCTAATGGTGGTAATGATTGTTTCCTCAAAGCTATCCCAGGGCTGTGAAAATATCTATAAAAAACTTCATAATTTCAAAAAACGAATGAATATACCAATGCCATGACTAAGTCAGTATTAACTGTAACAAGATCTCAACTCCTCCCACACTGTGAAGGTCTGAAAAAAGAGAAGGTGCAGTACATCACTCACTCACAGGCACATACACAAGAGTAAGTTGTAAGTTACTGTAACGTACTGGACTATATATAGGAATATCATCCTAAAACTCAGACACGATCATGACAGGATCATCCATAAACTGCAAAACAAATTACCGTATGATATATAACTATGCCTATTTTTTCTCTATTCTGTGTCCTACTTAAAAGTTCACTGGCTAATATTGTATGGGATACATATTTGGAAATTGAGATACATTCAAGAAAAAACACTTAAGAGCAATTCACATACACTTCTAAAAATCACAGATAAGTAATTTCTTTTTTTTTTAATTTTAAAGCATTCTGCAATTTAATCAAAGAAAAAAAACTATGTCTAGTTTTTAAGGGTACAACAATTTTTAAATACCAAGGGTCTGATTAGAAAAGAGAGTCTAACAGCTCATCATCATGTAAGGCAGTCTTTTCAAGTGCTTACATTACTACCACCACGCCCTTCATAGAAATATTAATTTCCAGCTCTCTACTCTACATTTTCACCACAAAGCTAAACAATCTTTATAGCTATGTCAAGTTTGGCTGAAATGGGCTTTTATGAGAACTGACAGGGAGTGCGAGTATGTACACCTTATTCCCATAGACCAGAAAGGTAACAGTGCTACCAGGCAAAATCTGATTGACTGGAAATATTTTTTGAGAGATTTAAAAAAAATCTTAGACAAATACTTCTGTTGAGGGGGTTGGTTTTTGGTTTGTTTTTTTCTTTTTTTCTCCAGTACTACAGAGAGGCAACCACATCTTTTAAGTGTAACTTAAAAGTCACAAACACATTTTGCATGTTAGATTTTCACACTTCACCATGCTTACCATGCAGATTGGAAAAAGGATTTAAGGTATGTAGAAGTGATGCCTTTGAAAAAAGGTTACACTGTAGAGCATTGGGTAAACAAAGTTACTCAGTCATGAAAGACGCCTCATATGTTGTTTCCAGTGCACAGCCCCCAGAAAAGTAAGCCCATGCTCTTGCACAGTTATGCAGAACCTCTTGGGGACTGAAAGTCAAGAAAGAAAAGGTCAGGTCTGAAGTACACAAGAGCTATGATGAAAAAATATCCAAGTAGGTAGAGTCAGAGCAGCTCTTTTGTTTCTCTTTGTTGCTCCCAACTTCATCTTCTCTCCACTGAACTGCTACAGCAACACTACACTCTAGAGCAACAGCCTACCTACACTTCAGAGGTTAACAGAGAAATTGTAACAGAAGGGTGTGAGAAAGTAAAGTGGCTTGAAAACAAACTTGAAATTTTCTACAATGAACTTTCGGTAGGAGCAGAGGAGTAATATAGCTCCAATACCTGTTGCTTCAAAGCTCTTTAAAAAAATGTCTTTTATCAAATCATTTCCCATTGTGTCACTGCAACAATAGGGTTGTTTTGGTGGGGTTTTTTTTCAGATGGTAACTGCTATTGGAAAGATTCCAGTATCAGTGTTTCTAAATGACCTTCATGAACTCTGATATTCTTACATATTCTTCTCTGTCACGAATCTAGTCTTGCTTGAGCCAAAAAAAAGATATAGAAACGCTAACATTCTCCAACCTTAAAAAGACCTTCTGAATTATGTACAAGAGAAACATCTTGAATAAGAAAGATTTATAGCAATCTTTTTGGGGTAGGTTCTTCCGCTGTTTTGCAAGATGCACAAGAAGGTCTCCCGAATTTCTTGAATAACTCCAAACAAAAGTCAAACCTTTTATGGATATATCCCAGGTCTATAGGCTTATTTCCAAAACAGTAACATGTCTCTAATCAAAAAGCAAATAGGCAGAAAATTTGACTGCTATATGAATTTGTCACTTTTCATTGTCAGATTCTGCTCCTCTCAGTTTTCAAACGAATGGATGTATTCTGTCAAATTTACTTAGCTTGCAATTTGGGAAATGTCATTAAAATGTCATTATAAAGAACATAAAACTATTGATATAGAATAAGTCCCATGATTATAAACTAACATCCCTTATGCTGGAGAACATGGCTTGGACATGAAACCAGACAGTCCAGGTAAGGGTCAATGTCACTGCAACAGCTCTTATGCGTATTAGCAAAATCACTATTTAAAAAATACATTTCCTGACAGTTGTTCAATTCTGTGTTAACATCCTGTATTTAACCTATGACCCTCAGTTCCAAGGCCTATCTCTACTTTTTTTGTAATTCTGTATCTATATGGATATTTGACTTATGAATCTTAGGGAAGATCAGATTAAAACAATGTGAACAACCCCGAACAACTTCAAAACCCCAGCACCACTTATAGGAAAATGGAAGGCATCAAACTTCAGGGAAAACAAGTAGGGAGACAGAGCTTAGAACATGTATTACTTAGTCAAACAAAAAAATCCTAAAAAATATTGCAATTTAAATCATGGCTGTGCAGTTACACAAACATAACCATGTATTTTCACATGCAATCGGTTTATGGAACTTAAGTAACTACATTACATCCCATGGCTACAGTGCCACTCAGCATTCCAGTGGAAACAAACTGTTCCTTCCAAAGCTGGAAATACTAAAAACTATCCACATCTGCATAAGGAGTTAGACATCATCACTGTAAGAAAATAACAAAACCTCAAAGCCTGATTTAACTATTAAGTAAAAATCTGCTAAATTGAACCTTCAACAAAAATGGTTCATTAAATTATCAGGGACTGTTAACAGATGGTAACTCAGAAGAATATTTTCCTTGTCATCTCTCACCTTCACTAGGTAGCAAGCCATATCATCCACATGTAATTTAATCAAGTCATTAGAGCTAGTTTTACTAGAACTATTTCACATTCTCATAGGATTTTGATTGGAAAGAACTATTATCTTACTGGCTTTGATACTAATTTGGCTATTCCTAACAAATAACATTTTTCAATAATAGAAAATATATAATAACTACTGTAAAGCACAGAAATATTTTAAACATTTACTATTACACTGGTAGAAGAATAAAAAGATAAACAAATGCAGGTATATCATAATAAAACAAATCCCTTTTCCTCATAATCCTTTCCATATTTTAAGGTGTATTCACAAACCAGGAACTTCAGGTTTTGTGAAAGATTATAGCAAAATTAAATTATTTTACTGGAAATAATTAAAATACACCAATTTCAAGTAGTTTCTGAAGTAGCTCTGTTTCATATGCATTTGACTGAACTCTCTCAGATTACTAAACATCTTTAAATATGTTACAACATCATTTCAACTGTTATAACATCACTTCAACTGTAGGACAAGGACACGAAAAAAAAACAAACTGAAAAATAAAATGTAACAGCA